CCTTAAACTAAATGCGACGTATAACATACTGACTGCACATGTAGTAGTCGCCAGGAACCCGTTCGCGGAAGAAACGGGTTTGCGCGACATTTGTTTTTTTTGTTGCTCAAATCATTGGCAGGTTTTTGTGAGAATTCATTGGCAGCAAAAAGCTGAATTCAGCACGGTGGGGCAGTGGCGATTACAAGTTGTGTATTTGATCAATAACTAGTCAGCTGCCCGGCATTTAGCTGCTAGTTAGAGTAGCTAGGCCTTGTAATTACCTTCCATGTGTAGCCAGGGGTTGTAATGAACTAACTTCCACGTGTAGCTAGGATGTCTAATTAATGTATGTGAGTTCCGACTGCAGCTGTGGTGGCGATCATCCCGAGCACGTCCCTGGGCTGAATGGGACGGATTGCGTTGCTCAGGGCTTGATTTCGGAGGGGTCCAAGTTCCGCGTGTTATTACAGTCAGTGGCTGGCACATTAAATTGTCAATTCGCCCCTAGGCAGCTAAACAAAAGTTGTGTAGGTCAGCATTGATCAGACACGACCGGCTGCGATCACTTGCGGCTTTTTAAAGCCATCTCAGGATTCGTCCTGCAGAACCGAGTTCCAGGCACGCGGAGGCTCGGCATGAAACCATGGGTGACCTGGTTCTGTTTGTTTCGGCCTAAACTTTAAGCAAACTGGGGAGGTCGCTACCTTTTTATCTACAATCTTCATGAATGGCTGCTCATAGATTCAGCGAAAAACACAGAACGCAACAGGTTGCGACCTGTAGCTTCACCAACACAAATTCAAACGACAGTGTCTTATAATAATCTGTGCGAAAACACAGTTCGCAACCGGTTGCGACCTGTACTGTCTCCCAAAAACCAAAGTGAACGAACCGTTCTTAGTTTCTGCATGGAAAACACAGATCGCAACCGGTTGCGACCTGCCCCTTCGCCCAAACATCAAAGTGGAACGATCCTTGTAGATTCTGTGTAGTAAAATGCAGATAGCAACCGGTTGCGACCTGCAACTGCGAGGAAATTAGTGTAATTCGGTGTGTTTCAGGTTTGGAGTGTGGGTTTTTGTCCCTGCGACGATTATCCGGCACTCTCTGTCAGGCTGGGGCTTCTGGGAATAATCACGCTCCCAACAATAAGAGGCTTGCATGAGATTACAGCTTCCAGAATCAGCTTCTAAATCATTGAGAAGGTGCACTGATGGCTGCAGCTTCGCTGGATGCTTCGCCTGAGCCTTGAAGTAGAACTTGCTGGAGTTTGCACTTCTTGACAGAATCGAGATTCGAGTGAATCTGAAGCATTGAGGCTCTGACCAGAGTCCAGTTTCGAGCAGCCTGAAGACACATGGAAAAACTAAGACTGCGATTCAGAATCGGCTAAAGTGTAGCTGTCAATTCATGGCAAGCTTTTAAACACCAACTCCAGCCATGGCAGTCGGGAAATGGAGCGCCGTGCACGGACGGCTGTGGGGTGAGACGAAGTCGTCGTCATCCTGGCAGCCTGCTGAACTGACTGAATCATTGTCGGCGTCCTCACCAAGAAACTCGTGCCCTCCACTTCGCCCAGCGAGGGGACCTGCTGAGGGGTAACTAAGTTACCCCTCAGCAGGTCCCCTCGCTGGGAGAAGTGGACACGGAGTGACGATTCGATGACAGTCTGCCAGCCAGCCGGGCAAGGCGCCGGGATTGGGGCCCAGCCCCCACGATTTTGAAGTCTGGGGCTGCCAGCCGGCCCCGCAACGTGGCGCCAAGAAACGGGCGCTCGACGGTCATGGCGGCCGACCGCCCTGGATCGCCCGGTGCGACAGTTGTCGCACCGGGCGATCCAGGGCGGTCGTCTGTCATAGCTGCCGTCATAGCTCTGCACGTGGCCGGTTGCTACCGCCATGGATTGCTCGGTGCGAATTTTTCGCACCCAGCGGTTACTGGGAAGCGCCGAGCAATCCATGGCGGTGGACTGGGAAGCTTCCTCACGGCGGTGGACGTCATGCAAGTGCCCAACCGCCATGGATTGCTCGATGCGAGAATCTCGCACCGAGCAATCCATGGTGGAAAGGTCAATGTCAACATCTCTGCGCACGGCCGTCGTCGCTGGGTCGACCTGGATCGCCCGGCGTGACACCCCCTCGGCGCTCTCATCTCAATGTGTCTGCGCGTGGCCGACCGCCATGGATCGCTGAAGATCTTGGCGCAAATGATAAAACAGACGTGCTTGGCATTCAGAAACTATAACTATCGTAATCGCTATGGGACCTGAGTCTGAATGTTGACCCCAAGACCTATGTGAAGCGAATTTTGCTTGGATCCATTTGCCAAGGCCGGTAGATGATCCTCTTCAGAGGCTCGCAGCTGCATGTCTGGCGGACTCCATTTGGGGGTGCTAAGTAATTTGCGATGCTGCCTCAGCAGCTCACTGCCTGTGGACGTAGTAGGTCTCCTGTGGTCTCCGGCTTAAGGGTCCGAGCGAAGTCAAGCCTGTCTTTTAAGAAAACAGAATAAGTTGTTCAACAGACGGATCCGGATCCCATGACTCGTCCATACAGATCATGCAGATTATACAGCTCTGTTTGGGTTGCAAGCAATGTCGGCGATGTGAAGCGCCGTCTATTCAGCCAGGCCCATGAAACGCGCGAGGGAGGCAGGATGCCCAATCAGGGACTAAGTGACTAAGTTAAGCCTACGGGCTGTCAGAACTTACTTAGAATCCCACCCTGCCTTCAGGAAGAAAAGTCCAAGAGCACCGCTGCCACGGCCGTCGACCCGTACTCCTTCGATCCGATTGCTGATCGAAGGTTTTTTCGAGTCACTTGGTTTTCGTTTGAATGTCACGGATGGTTGATGACTGCTATGTGTTATAGCTTGTGCTTGTGCACTTCAGCAACGCACCGAATCTGTAGAGTCTCAGGTCTACGATAACCTAGCGCCAAAACGAAGACCTGTGTCTGGGCTCCTTTTGACGTGCGTTTTCACATAGGTACACCCCTAGTCTTAGTTATTCAATCTTCAACCATAAACCCCAAAAGTTGCCGTTCAGCATCTTACAGGTTCCCAGAGCACGCCCTCCCCCTGCGCCGTCGACGCTGCCTTCACCGGCTTCAGGGACAACGCCTTCGCCGCCTGACCTTCGGATCCCGAGCGAGCCATCGGGCCCGCCGCCGCGCCCGAGGACGCCCAGGCCGCCTGAGACCCCACCTCCTTTGCACTTGCTGGCCAACCGCGTCCTGACCAGCAAATCTGGTGCCCTCCTTGTCTGCAGCGGCAGGACCAACGACGGGTTGACATTTCAATGTTTTTCGGTTTGGGGTTTCGGGTTTCGGGTTTCTGCGGAGGACGGTGGTCGGACGGCGCATATGGTCGGCCCCCAGCGCTGAAGCCACTGGTCATGAATGAGTTTCATGAAATTAAAAGCCGAAGTGTTGGACACCAGCCCCTGTAACATCGCTAAAGTATGCGTCGGGGTGCAATTTTTCGATGTATACCCAACATATTCGCTTGCTCGAGGCACATCCAAAGAGAGCGTTGCCGCCAATGACATTGACACCGGCAGAGATACAAGAGATCGAGATGAAGCCGCCGCGCACGAGCCAATGGTTTTGGAAGCTGATTCGTTGAAGCGCGCGGGTCCACGAAACACGTGTGAAGTCTTGCTTTTCACTTCATGTGCTTGGGAATCCTTGCTGCAGCCCTCGAATTGAACCCGACCCTGAAAAATCACCAGGGAGCCCTCAGACTCAGCCAGCCTCGGGACGCAGGCTGCATTCCGTCGATCGTGACGAGCAACAGCCACGGCCTCTGCAATGTGGATTTGCCTAAACAACTGAACCTAGCAGTGCAGTATGGTCACGAGTACTTATTAATTTAAACAAGCAGTGGTTTCTAACTAGGCTGTTACAGACACACCTCATCATTTCCCACGAAGCGCCCCCACCACATTGCTACCCTCGACCTCCAGGCACTTGAAAGGCCTTCCAATGCCCTGCAATTTAATAGTATTGTCTGGCTGAGGAAACTTTCGTGAAACTAGCCACCGCAGTCCAAGGAGGCTGTCCCGGTGTGAGGCTTGTATCTTTTTGGCTCGCATTACTGAGCAAACATCCAACTAAAAGCTTCTGCTGCGCAAGCAGGCCGCGAGGACACTCAGCCCAGGAACTTCAACAAGGCATCAGCATCATGCTTTGCATTAGAGATGTGGTTCAGGTGAATTTCGGCATCGCCAGGAAACCGCAAAAGAGACAAGGTTGCGTTCCAACCGGTTTCCAGTTCCATGAGCTGGTTCTTTGTGATAAAGCGTCCCCTGTACTGTAAGCGCTTGACCATGGCGTCATTCTCATCGCGGTAGGTCGGAAGGGCCATTGGGACAACCTCAATAGCTGCTCCAACATGCCACCCGGACTCGAAGGCGCATCGTACAGTGGTCAATACCGCTGCAAGAGTTTTTGTGGCTGCCAGAGCTTTGTCCGCGTACCCGGGCAAGATTCCAGCTAAGGTACTCATACCGTTTCTGACCGACTCCAACGGGCCAACGACCAGGTCGTACTGTTCCTCGACCGGCAACGCAGCCAGCGAGAACAAGACTGCTCGGGCCCAAGCTTCCACGGAGTCCATCGGAGCACCCATACAACTTACTAACAAGGCTGCGGCTGGTATAGCTGCGTGAGCCAGTCATCAGAATCATGACACTCAAGTTTGCAGGAAACAGGCGAGGCTACACTGTCTTTTATTGAAAAGTCCATATCGGTCTCCTTTCAAAGAGTAACCAAAAGCCAGCCTTCTCCACGTCCATTCCACCACGCCATGTCCGCCTGCCAGGTGGTGCGGGGCTTTAGAGCAAGGGGGGAGGGGGGGAAGGTGTTCTGCTCAGCTTGGCATGCAATCTCGATGAACTATGGTTTTTGACTAGACAGCTCATCGTCAAGGCTGTCCACAGTTCTGGTCCACCTTGCCCAGGCTGTGTTGACAAGTATTAATTAGTGAGGCAGGTCTTCGTTTGTGAAACGATTGCTATGTCACTGCTCACCGGAAAGGTGTCCCAGCACTTCGTCGCCGCGATCGCTGTCGAAGAAGGGAAGGCGCGCCCAATACCATCTCAAGTCGCCGTGAGCCCACCAGCACACGCCATGAGTCTGGCGACGATCAAGCACTGGGAGATAGGAGAAAATGAGACAAGCAACCCTTTGATCAGCGGTAAGGTCTGCAAAGTCCAGGACGATGCACGGTAGAATCACCGCTTGAAGGGGTGTCACAATGTTCCCGTTGCAATCACAGATGGCAGGTGGTGGCCGCTTCGGGGGCATGCGCGCGAGGCGCGGTCGTAAGATGATGCTGAAGAACCAAAACGCCTAAACCGAGTCGCCGTGACACAGCGAGGTTGTGTTAAGTACGTTTCAACGACACATACAAAGACACAGAGAGAGAGATAGATAAATCGCCCAATGACATCTTTGTCTTCAGGGGAAGGCCGTCTGAAAGCTTGAGGGTTTGGCGGTTGTGGCCTGATTTGTACTCCTACATTAGTGCTAATTAGAAAGGTTTGGGTTGGGTGTCAGAATGTTGTTGGGGCTTTGAAATTCATTCAATAATTTAAAAATGCGCTGCGTCGTTAATGATTCGGAGGGTTGCTTGCTCCCAAAGAGTAAGGGCTTGGGGGTGTCAGTGTGGGTTTCCGAGTTCTGCGTGGTGCTAACAGAAGGGTTTGAAGGGGAGGCCGCCAAAGACCCCTGAAGCTGCGTAACCCCCGGGGAGGCCGCCTTCCCCCCAGTAAGCGCCTTCCCATTAGAGCCCTCCCGACTGCCTGGCCATACCGGTGAATTGGCGCCGTAGGCTGCCCTGCCACCGACAGGTAAGACACGTGACACGACGCAAACAACAATAAATCGTGACTCTTTGCTTTGCTTCTGCCATGGCAGCACCCGCGGACTGCACCCCACATTTTCGGAACCTCTTTCCTTGCTCTCGCGGGACACACACACACACACACACACACACACACACACACAACACACACACACACACACACACACACACACACACACACACACACACACACACACACACACACACACACACACACACACACACACACACACACACACACACACACACACACACACACACACACACACACACACACACACACACACACACACACACACACACACACACACACACACACACACACACACACACACACACACACCACACACACACACACACACACACACACACACACACACACGAACACACACACACACACACACACACACACACACACACACACACACACACACACACACACACACACACACACACACACACACACACACACACACACACACACACACACACACACACACACACACACACACACACACACACACACACACACACACACACACACACGCGAAACTGCTCTGCGAGACGCGCGGGTTTGAGACGATGTGGCGGCGCATGCCCAGCCGCGTCAACGGTTGGAATCGCTACCCAAAAGACTTTTCTAAATGGGCTTCCCCTTCTAACTTCTCTATATTTATTCTCTTCTGTCATACTTGAACGGGGAGCGGGGGGTTGCGGCGTTGGCTGGCCTCAGCAACAAAACTGACCATCCAAGCGAGGCAGGTCCTCTGGACCCGCTGACTAGGCTGGCGTGGAAGAATCCAAGCTGCGGAGCTTGTCCAACAAATTCTGCTTCTGCTCACTGGATGCCTCCTTCTTGTTATCCTTCGGCTTGTTGTTGGCATCCTTTCCCTTCTCGTTGTCCTTCTCCTTGTCCTTCTGGTTCTCTTTCGCCTCGGCGTCCTGCTCCTTCTTGTCCTTCGCATTTGTGTTTGCTTTGGCCTTGGCTTTCGGCGCTGCACTGATCCGCATGGACTCCGGAAGTGCATCTCTGAGGCCCTGCTCGAAGAGGGGGTCGCTGGGGTGCTGCATTGCCCGGAACACCTGGTTGGCCAACTGCTTTTCCAGCAACTCCTTGTGTTCTGGTGTGTGGCATAGCCCGAAGTAACTCTTCCGCAAACGGATAGCTGTCATGGGCAGCGGTGAGGTCCACCCAACCAGCCCCCGAGAAAGAGTGATGCAACTCTTCGTAGAATTCTGTCGGGAGCCCATGCCAGCAAAAGGGAACCATGCTGGAGGGCTTCGGCCCGGGATCCACTTCCGGCCCCGGGTCGCCATCCACAGTTCCCCCCACGGCGATCAGCGCCTTGCCCAGGAGGTCCGACTTGCTGGCGTGCTTCACCTTCCAGAGGCTTTCTGGCGGCGTCCTCTCGAAGGGGCCGAGGCAATCAGACGCCGTGCTTCCCGGCACGTGCAGGTGATCTTTCGCCACGACCTCGAGCGTCTTCTGGCTGAAGACGTTCATACTCAGCATGGTGGACAACGTAGCAATGCCCTTGACCCGGGCTTTCACCTGTCGCTCGGACTGCTCCGTTGTCAACACGTACAACTGCGTCTTGACCTTCGGAATTACCTTGCCGCCGTCGTCCACAAAGGCCTTCGAGGCATTGCCTGCACTGCCCAGGTTCCTGTCGATGAAAAAGAAGGCGGCCTTCTCCGGGATCTGTGGCAAAACGTTCTGCGCCGGCTGGAGCCCCTCCAAGGCTCCCTTGATGCATCTTTTCAAGTGCTCATCCCTTAAGGGCGGCGGTCTCAAGTGCGGCCTGGACGATGCTTCTCCAGCTCTCGTGACATCGTACAGGACAAGCACGTACTCCTGCTTCCCAGTGACCTTCTGGGAAAGCGGGTCCGCCCGCAGCAGCTGAGCGACCCCGGAGACGCTGCCAGGGTCACCGTGCAAATTCACATACCTGTCCACCAAGTTCTTTGCATAGGTGACCCACTGAGCCAGCACGCCTTCCTTGTCGTCCATCTTCTTTGCCGAGATACCAGGAAGCATCATCCCGCCATCCTCCTCGTCACTCAAGTCAATGTCCTCCACGTCGATGCCCTTCTTCTCCATGTCTGGCGCTGGCCGGCCATCGCCCTCCGCCTCCAGCGCGGCAACGAACTCATCCATCTTCTCCTTCACGGGGGAGCGAGTGAGGGCCTCCTCCATGCTGTGCCCGCCATTCTTGGCCTGCTTGATCACTTCGTCGTACTTGTTGTCGAAGACGAGCTCCTGGACAGGTCTCACTCACAGTCAGGCTTACAGGGGTTTGTGTAATGGCGGTGCCGTTACATTTATTTCCGCTCCTCAAAGAGTTTGACGCCTTTCTGCGCCGAGTCAGGCAAAGTCCCCACCCAGGACGCGCTGCCCTTGAACATTGCTTTCCTGTACTCCTCGGGGCTTTTCTCCCACGCGTCCATGCGCTTCACGGCCACCTCGCTGACCTTCAAGTCACGTGCCTGCAATGCAGCATAGGACGAGCAACAACGTAGACTCACCGTGAATCAATAATTTTTAAAAGCCGGAAATTTGCCTTCTTGATCATGCACCACGCGATCTCCTTCTTGCACATGCACAAGTCAACGATGCCCCTGCCGCCGGGCTGACCCTTTCCTGAAAGTTTCCGGACGCTCAGCTCGCGCGGAATGGTCCCGCCGTACTGGACCATGTCCGCAATCAGCATGACGGTCCAGTGGATCATGTCTTTCGAGGATGCCCTCTTCACGATGGCCTGCCACGCGCGCAGAGTAACTTTCCCGAACAATGCAACTCGGAACTGTCCACGTTTTGAAAGAAGACAACAGGCACAACAGGATACCGCAAATATAAGCAGGCTTTACAACCATTATATGATACACATATTTTTTCCTGTATCCAGAAAATGTACATGTATTCTGGTAATTACTGACTGCGAAAAGATAGCTCAGTGCTTAGCTAGGTGCTTGGCCCGTGGAGCTAATTTGATTCGCTAATTCACGTTTTAGCTAGACCTAATCAGCTAGCTACGTCTGTAGCTATGCGGTTAACACCGATTTCCTCGCTGCTTCGCTACGTACTTTGCCAGTTCGCTGAGAGCTTAGCTAACTGATTAGCGGAAACTCGTTGCTAGCCACTCCGCAAAACACTTACTTCATTACTCAGAACTCACCAAGTCGTGTTAGTTAATACTTCCCCTTCACCGACTCCTTCATGTATCTTGTCCACCGCCTATCTATAAAGAAGGGGAGCCTCCAGCTGGTAGATGCTGTCAAACACCGGGCCATTCTTCCAGGCCTCCGTCTGCCTCAAAAACCGCTCCATGTCGTTCTCTGTCAGAAGCCGGTTGTACACGGTCACCGCCGCGTCGATGAGGCCAACCTTGATGGCTTCCTCCTTGTTGCGGCCGCTCTCAGAGACCTTGACGTTGTCCCTCCACGCGGTCTCCAGCGCTTCAGCACCCATCGTCTTGCCGCCATGCAGCTTCTCCAACATGGCCTTCGTCTCCATGATGGCCAATATCTTTTCGATTGTGCTCAATTTGGCCGTCTCACCGATCTCCATCATGTCCTCGCGGCATTGGTGCGAGGCCCACAACCGCTTCTCCATGCTGTCGACGTACTTCACTTCCATGGATGCGCACAAGAAGAGATCCCGCCATTTCTGCAAGTCCTCTTCCCCTAGGCTCGCCTTGATGTCTCTGGCGGCTGCCACCACCGGAGCCCATGCGAACTCAAGCGGGCTGAGCGCCTGTCTCATTGTTGTTACACTCTGTCCGTATCTGTAGTCACAGCTTCCAAATCATATCAAACATTTTACAAACGCCGTGCCTCCACGTGGCCTTTCATGTCATCCGGAAAGTTCCCCGACGAGATGCAACTCTTGATCTGATACGGGAGCTTCCTCTCAGGGGCCTGGAAGAAGTGCTTCACGACATCCTCCAACTTGTGTAGGGCTACGGAAACCTTGATCGGCGACTGCACGAAGTCCAGCCAGAACAAGTTGTAGCCAGCCTGGAAAATCATTGCGATGCTCAAATTGTGATGTTACCAGAGGGTCTCGTTGCGTCCACAACGTTTTCTTCTAAGGCTGCTACAGCTTGAAGTACTCTGCTTCCTACCGGTTCTTTTCTACTCTTAGCTACATTGGCAGACGCTGCACTCAGACATTCTCTATTATTCTTCAAAACACTACTCTTGAGGTCAGGTACTGTCTATTGAAATCTTCCGCACCTACCCAACTTGATGTAGTTTCCAATGCCCAGTCTAAGCTGTCACCGGCCTCCATGAAGGTCTCTTATTCTTTAAACGCTCCTCTTGCATTCAGCTACTGTCTTACTTCAAGTCTTCCGCAGCTACCCAGCTTGATGTAGTTACCAATGCCCGTCCTCTAAGCTGTCGCCTCCATTCTCGGTCATGGCTTGCCATGACTCGCGCTTGTACGGCTCCATGCTCACGAAGCTTGGGTTGCGTCCTGGCAGGTCCTGGAAAAGCGGGTGGCCAAGGACGACGGCTTTACTCTCCAGGAAGAGCTCCAAGGCAGGGGACGGAGGGACTCGGTGATCGATCTCCATGGGCAGAGGTGGCATTTCACCGTCACCCGCAGCAGGCTCTGCCGCGTCCACGGGCAGGGCTGCAGCCTTAGCCTTAGCCTTGGCCTCAGACTTAGGTCTGCCCTTCGCTTTGGCTTTGGGCGCGCTGTTCGGCGAGGCTGGCTCCGCCCGCGACTTACGCTTGGTCATGGCGTGAGTGCACTTGCTTTCAATTGGGCAGCTTGCTCCGTGCTTTCGGATATAATCATAACTACTGCTTACTCAAACCGCAGCACGCTGGTCCTGGCTGATGATCGCACTGCTTAGGCTTAGTCCCCCACAGCAACAGCAACGGTAGCCATGCCTCGTCGGCCGGCCCGCGAGATTCCGCGCCGCCTGGTCGGAAAGCAAACAGTGAAGCGCAAAGGCAAAGCAGACCCGCTTCTAGGTGACAGCTGGCAGGAATGGTTGGGAATCATCAAAGACCATGGACCTATGTGGCTCTACGCCGCAACTATCATCTCTCACGCCTGCTGCCTCCGCATTACCGAGACCCTCATGTTGACAGCGGAGAGCTTTGATTGGTACCGCAACGTGGTTGTCGTCCCACCCCTCAAGGGTCAAGAGGAAACGGAGAAGGTAATGCCCTCCCGCGCAGTGACGTTGTTCAACGACTGGTGGCGCAACGGCGGCCTCCGAGTGTCTCGCATGAAGAAGCAAGGAAATCGCGGCATTGTTCCAGTGGAGGAGACCTGGACATGGCCAGCGCAGGGGTATCTTTTTCCTGCGACCCGTAAAGACTCCAAATTGAAGAGGAGAACCAAGGACTCAGGGACTTTCAAAGAGAGCTCCTCTTCGGATGTTCTTTAGCACTGTACCTAGCTAAACACATAATAAGCGTGCCCCGGCTCCAACAAGACCCTGTGTAAGCGTTTACCATGTCCTGGTCTTATTTGTTTGACATTCGTGCCCACACGATACGCACGGAGGACTCCGTGGCCAAGCAGATTGCCAAATTGCGCAAGAACATCACCAATGCTACGATCAAGAAGGAGAAAGTTCGGAGCCACAGCGCTCGGCACAGAAGTATAAACGACATGAAGGCTGCCGGAATTGATCACGAAGTTGGAAAACAGTATGCCAGAATCCGAGATGATGGCGTTTGGGCCGGCTATGGACGGCTCTCCGCCTTCCAGGCAGGAACGGCAATGCACAACAACCACGCGCTGCAAATGGCATGGGTCAATGCGATTCCTGGCCCTGGCAATTTGTGACACAAACGGCGCAGCACTCAACTGTGTCACGACAAGTGGCCTGGTCGTGGAGAGCGTTCCACGTGAATTCACCTGCAGCAGCAGCAGCAACATGCGGCAGCTGCTTGGACGGACTGTGAGTGATGCACTGCTCTGTAGAGAGGACATGCAGCGCATACTGACACGGCATCGGTTTCACCAACTTTTGTTCGTCAAACGCTTGCATACAAAGCGTGCTTCTTGTACCGGTTGCACTCCCAAGGCGTAAAATCTAATTAGTTGCAGAAGCTGTTCCGTGGCTCGACCGTTTCTGATATCGAAAGAAATATGATGGGGTTCCAACTTAAAACATTGGGGTTTCGGATTGAATTCTGCTGCTGCTCCGAGGTCGAGCCTTGCAACGCCCAGCTCCTGCTCTCCTACACCGCGCCACGCTGTGCGGGGCTCAAGAATAACCGTAGAAACTTTGCAAAGCTGCTGCAAGCACTCGCGCGTAAACTGTACCAGTGAACGCATTGCCACACAGCGCTCCCATTTGGTTGTCGGAAATGCACCAGTTCAGCCCTGAAGACGGTAGCCCCTGGAAGCGCAGGAGCTCCGCAGCCGACAGTTGCCGACCGTGGCTCAAGGACCAGAAGGCCAGTTTGTTCCCTCTGCTTCTTGTGATGGTCGGGCAGTGGTCGAAGTGCATGTTGAGGGATGTGCCAGCAACATCAACAATGGGCGTGTAGCTGATCGGTGGCCGGCGCTGCGCTTCTGCCTTCACCATCACGTTCTTCATGGCTTCGAGTATGTTCTTCCGCGCTGTCTTCTGGGTCACATCGTCCAACGGAAAATCAGCCAAGCTGGCTAGCTTCTTCCGGCTTCCAAGCAAGCTTTCCACGGAACAACGCGGGATGCTGCCAGGCCAACGCAACGTGCGATCACGACCGCACCGGCGCACGGCCACTATGTAAACCCTTTCACGGTGCTGTGGCAGGCCACCAACCTCTAGGGTGTCCAACAACTTCCAGAATGTATCATACGCTCTGGAGCCGTCGCTGGGCTCAACAATCCTCCGGAGCAACTCCAGGACTTCCAGCATCACAGCCGCGTGCGTCGTGAGAAGCCCCTTCACATTCTCCAGCACTATGATGTTGGGGAGGTTCTTCGCGCAATAGCTGATGACGTAGGCCACCAGGAGCCCTCGAGGATCGCCGAGGGCTTGGTTCAAGCCCGCCACTGAAAACGTCTGGCAGGGGAAACCCCCTGACAGGACGTCTACCCTTGGGGCATCCCTCAGGAATTCTGTAGCCGTGACGTCATTGAAGCTCAAACAGTCCAGGTTCCCTTGCAGGAATCGTCTTGCCGCCGGCTCCTTCTCCACCCAGAACTTGCTGGAGAGCCACCAATCGGACAGGTACTCCGAGGTCTTGGCCATCCAATGGTCGGTCCCGAAGCCAGCAAAGCAAGACCCCATGCTTATGTTCGTCCGCGGCGAGTGTGCGACTCGCGGCAGCGAACTCGCAAGCTCCGGTCGGGCTTCCGTGCCTAACTCTGACACCAACCGTGTCAAGCTCGCAATTGCGCAGGTCTGCCGACTTCTGGAGGAAGACTTGCTCGTCCGGGCCGCTGGCTTCTTCGCCACGACGGCCTGCTTTGTCGAGGCCTTCTTGACAGCCGCAGCCGGCCGTCCTCTCGCCTGCCGCCCGGCGTGCCTGGATACCATGACGGCTCACGGCTCCCGAAAGCTACTTTCAATTTGGTCGCCTTGACCTGCAACATGTCAACATAAAATCATGATTCTGGCTCGTACGGCCCGTGCTGGCCAGCAAACCCACAATGGAGCTCGGAGACGTCTCTGATCCCCGTAACAACCATTTGACCGGGCCCTCGGCCCCCACATTGATGCTTGTTTTTTCGGGTGTTGTTGGAAAACCCACCGCAAGGAAACTCGGAGACGTCTCTGAGTCTCGTAACCACAATGCTGGCCAGCAACACTGTTACACAGGGTCATGCCACGTCCCAAGACTCATCCTGAAGGCGCTGTTCCCCGGCCTCGTCCCAGAGCTCTGGCTCCAAGATTTCCGACCTGTTGGGTTTAGGGTTTAGGGTTTAGGGTTTAGGGTTTAGGGTTTGGGGTTTGGGGTTTGGGGTTTAGGGTTTAGGGTTTAGGGTTTAAGGTTTAGGGTTTAGGGTTTAGGGTTTAGTACATTAACTATGTCCAACAACAACTCACTCTGTTGCCTGCTGCCCCCTTACGCATCTCCCCAGCTGCCCCTTTTGGGCTGGCCTGCTTTGCAGGCTGAAAATCACCCTGCCCGTGGCTTGTGCCTTCCCTGTGTGATCATACATCAGTCACGTGTGTGTGGTACTCGTCATCAATCATCATACTACAAGCCACAAACACCCAAGGTAGTGTGCTTCACATCCATGCGTGCCAGCTTCGTGATAAAAGTCTCCCGGGTGAAAACGCAGTTGGAGCCCAGCTCTTGCACGAAACTTTCCTCCGGGGCAGCACACACGCTCAGATAATTTTCCAGATCATGCAGACATACTTCTCCAACGTGTCAAACTTGAGTATTTAGGAAACTTCGTTAAACTCTAGTTACAAACTGCCACGAGAGAGCTAAGTGATTAGCAAATCGCATTGCCCCACGTACCTATGGATCGCTAACTCTAGCTACGTTATCTGCAAAACACCTCATCATGCAGTAGCTAAGTGGTTACCTACGACCTACGTGGCTTACTTCTTCATTGTCGTGTAAACGATTTGATAAGTACTCTAAGTACTTAGGGTTTAAGGTTGAGGGTTTAGGGTTCAGGGTTCAGGGTTTAGGGTTTGGGGTTTGGGGTTTCGGGTTTCGGGTTTATGTGCACGTGTGTGTGTGTGTGTGTGTTTCCCTGTAATGTGTGTGTGTGTGTGTGTATCTGTGTCTGTGTGTGTGTGTGTCTCTGTCTCTGTCTCTGTCTCCGTCTCCGTCTCCGTCTTCGTCTCTGTCTGTGTCTCTGTCGGTGTCTGTGTTTCTGTCTGTGTCCGTGTCTGTGTCTGTCTGTGTCTGTCTGTGTCTCTGTGTGTGTGTGTGCGTGTTGTCTGCCAGACGCAGTCCTGCTCATCATCTGTGACGAAGGCAATCGCCTTGAGGCTGGCGTTCCGCTTCCCACGCTCGCGACAGAAGTCCTCCAGGTCCACGAACTTCCACTGTGAGCCTGCTTGGCCAACGCACGCGGCCATTGTTTGGTAAACGTCCAGCTGTTGGAAGCGAGCGCTGCACCAAACACGTCGCTTGGTTCCGAGTGCTGCTTTGAAAGCGACACAAACACCCCGCGGTTCGCCGCTGGGATTCCCGGCCACAGCATCTTGCATGTAAGTGGCATCAACAAGAAAACCGCCCAGCAAACAAGCAGCCCACGCGAGATTCTGAGTGGCCATATCTCCAATTCTTTCCAGAACAAACCAGTCTGCCTCGATCCAGCGACGAGTCAGCCGTACCCGCTTCATGTTCACGGCCTCTCTTCCCAAATTGTCTGAGATGCCCGGCTGGAAGTAGCACTTTTGACCGGCGCAGAGCCTCACAGCAGTGAAACTGCAGGTGTTGCGTCGCTTCTCTGCTTGCTCCGCACGCTCTTGCTGCAGCGTCAACGCGCGGGCCTTCCTTTTCTTTGCTTCTTCTGCCTGTCCTGGAGTGAAGTCCGGCTGCTTCAATTGGCCGCCGAGGATGCACGCATGAAACGCGTCCTCTTGTTTCCTCAGATGGCAAGGGTGGGGTGCTGCAATAATAATGAAACCATGGGTGCGTCCACGTCGTGGACGTGATTTTTCATTTTTATGCTAAGCTTTCACTCTGCCTGCGAAACAGTCAAACTCACTGCTGTGTCCCCAAGCGTCTCTGCCAGAAAGTCTAGCTCATTGTTCATCTTCTCGCTCCAAACAGCAGCAGCCCCCGGCGCAGCATCGTACCCGACTTGCTGGATAGACCGGATCTTGTGATGCCTGGCATGGTGAGTCACCGCAGCACGGGCTCGCTTGAAAAAACCACCCAAGGTCTTGCTTCTTTTCCCTTTGCTTCTCTCTTTGCCCTTGTCCTGGCGCGCTGCTCGCTGGATGGCCCGGGGCCGCCCGTAGACGGTCCTCCACACATCACGAGCCACTGCGATCGTTTTGGCGTCAGCTGCCTGTCCCGGCGGTGAAGTCGCGATCGTAATCTCATTTACCTCGCACTGTAGACTGAGATGCTTGTTCCGTCGCTTCGGCCAAAGCCAATCTTGGACGCTGTGCGTGACTTCGACGCACGACGTCGTGCACCCTGTGAAAGCTCCCAGCTGCGCCACTGCCCGGAACAACTCCGGTGCCAAGGACTCCATGCTACGGCCCTTTGCACGGGCCTCCTGAAGCATGACGTGTCGCCACGCGTCGAAGCTGCTGCAGCTTGCCTGTGACCGGTAATACGACACGGCCTTTGTCAGGAAGTGCTGGTACTTTGATCGCAATGCAGATGCGTCCACAGAGCAAAACATTGCCACGCGCTCCAACTTCGATGCCACATCGCCTACCAGGCTTCTCTCGCGCAAAGCAAAGATTCCGAAGCACTGCAATGGCTCGAAGGAAGGGAATTCAGCTCGCACAGTCTGCACAGCCAAAACGACGAA